CCTGCCACGAGAGCCCTGCCAGGGGAGGGGGCTGTCAGACACGGAGGAGGCCTGGGGACTGCGGGGAGAGCGCAGGGGAGGCCGCCCTGGCGTCCTGACCGTGCCCTGGGTTTGGCTCTCTCCTCCTAGAATCAGCTGGACCCCTCCTCAGCCCACCCTAGCCCCTGGCGGCCAGTGGGACCCCAGACCACCCTAGTGCCGCCAGGCAATGTGGCCTGACACTCTCCCCTCCCCCCCCTTGCTTCCCCCCTTCACCTTGTGCCATGAGGTGCCGCAGGACATCCTGCAGGCGCTGGAGCACGGGAGAGGTGACCTGGAAGTAGGGTCTGTCCTGCACGGAGCCCACCTGGCACTGCCCAAAGAGCCCATCTGCAAGAGAGGGGAGGCGGTGGGGCCAGATGGACGAACAACCTGGGATGAGGGTCTCCAGGCGCAGCCCCACCACACTGCACCCCAAGTTCCCCTGCAAGGCAGCCCAGCACCTTCCACACCCTCTTGGGAAGGAAGAGGGGATCCCCGCAACCCCTCACTCCAGCTACTTACCCTGCACACACACCTCCTGCGGGGAGCACAGCCTCCGGTCAAACAGGCAGCCTGGGACAGACAGACAGACAGACAGGCTGGTCAGCACAGCCTCTAACGGGGTTTGCTCATCACCAGCTGCTGGGGTGTCCCCCCCCCGTCTCCAGGGAAGTGCCACAGGGGGGCAATGTGGCAATGGTGGAGGGGAGCACAGTCTGGTAGCCCAGGGCAGGGCCTCGCTGCCAGCCTCCCCCCCTCAAAGCCAAGATGGGGGCTGTGTACAGAGCCTGCCCCAGGCTGTGGGGAGCAGGGGGAGGCCTGGAGTTTTTTGGGGTGCTGACAGTTAGGAAGGGAAGGCTGAGGGGACAGAGACCTGGAAAACCATGTCTGTTGCTCTCCCACATGTGGTACTGCGAGGCAGGGACATGGCCCCGCACCCCGTGACACCAGGGACCTGCTCTCCCTGAGAGGGAGACCCCAAAGCATGCGTGCAGCGGGAGCGTGTGTGCGCGTCTCTCCCCCTCCTCCGGGGGGCAGCACCTGGGCAGGGGGCGGCTTCCCCCTTCCTCTCCCCC